GGCTGCAATATAACAAAGAGTGAAAAATTGAAGGGGGTCTGAATACTTTCCGTACCCACTGTATATGCAAACATATATAGGCTACATACACTCACATATACATTACTATATGTATGTATCTGTGCGTATCTATATACACAATTAGCATGTCTCCTGTGATCTTTTTATGACAAATTACAAGTTTCACTTGCTTTTTTTTATTTTATATAAAACTTTGACACAAACACGATGTAAACCGGAATTAAACAGCTACCAGGTAAGTATAATTTAAACTGTAGTGAGCGCTTATGATATACACAATAACACAGGGATAGTTGAAACAGAAGTGATTACCTCTCGTCGCCCGTTATGCGCTCGATCGGGTCCGGTGGGGTAAACGAGGGTCTGACCCTGTGAACTGCAGGACGGGGTGGGCTGCGTTCGGCACGGAGCCGTTTGACTCACGCTGCTGAAATCACTCATGCTCGACGTGTCGCTGAAATTGTCCCTCTGATCGTCCACTCGTCCCCGAGGGTTTCTCCTGGCAGAACTGGGGCTGTACGACTCAAAATTCAAGGTTTTATTCTCAAATGCTCCTTCGATGTTGCAGAACATCCCTCCTAACTTCACCCGGGGTTTAGGGCTCTCGGTGCCCAGTCTGGACAGCAGGGAACCCTGGTCATCGTCCTGGGGAAGGAGTCTTCTCTCAGCCATGGCTCACAGAAGAAATGGGAAGCTTGTTTGAGGAATCTTTGGGCTGGTATTCCAGAGACACACTTCCACTGTGAGAGACAGACAGGTGCTGTTATAGGAGCTGTCCAGAGAGGCATGGTGCTGAAATCCTCCACTCACTGGATTAGGAAAGACATGAGCTCTCTCAAGATTAAGGTAACTCGATTGTTTTACAAACAGTCATCAGAGAGAGTCAATCAGAGAGAATCAATACAAAGTCCTGTTTCTGAATCTGACTCTTTAGATAATCTCATTCACAAAAGAGTAAGTGTGAGAAGGGTAGAATACATAACAATATTCCTCTACTTTTAAGTTGGCTTTAAAGTCAAGAGTCAACAAGTATCTATCTATCTATCTATCTATCTATCTATCTATCTATCCATCCATCCATCCATCATCCATCCATGTCTGTCTGACTATCTTGGTCTTTTGTATAACAAATATTTTAATGTTGATTATTTTATCATTTGTACAAATATAAATTAATATGAGGTCATGAAAACTGCATGTACAGTGATATAAAATATAAGAATGATATAAAAATGCCATGTCCTAAATTGACATATCTTGACATACTGACCTTGCATTCAAAATATTTCAAATACATTTTCATATAGATTTCAGAGCACTCTTATTTATTTTGTGCTCTATGAAAATCATATACAAAAGTAGAAGTCAGCACCATATACCACTTTAAGGAATTCATATTGTGTATGATTTTCATACACCACCAATAACAATGATAATAATGGTGCATACATTATAAGCATTTCTAAATATTTTCTTTCAATCCTTTTTTTTAAGCAATTGTATGTTTAAGTGCAATATATTTATATGACTGATTCACAGCTGGCCTACTGTTTATAATGCAATGCATATAGAAGGTGCAATTTAAAACTATTGTTTTGACAAGCAATGCCTTCAAAAATGAGCTAATGGGTTGCATTAGGAAGAAGTGTTGCAATTCATGTTAAACAGGCAGACGCTAAACACACCAAGTGCTTGCAGATGTCGTTTACAGTGTGTCTGGTCTCATCTGCGCATGTGGAGATCTGGGAAAGTCCATCTGGAGGCTTGAAGATGTGCCCAAAGGAGAGGACTCCTGCCCCATATGCTGAATGCCTCTGGGAGTGAATGCGTTAAAACACTTTACAGCCAGAATGGATCATATAAAAGCACAATAGCTGCAGTCTAACAATAGCCTGAGGAAAGAGGGCTTGCATTTCATCTAATATAAGATACATGATTCATTTCCATTCATACCTGACCAGAGAGATGATCTCACCACTTCTTACACGTGCGGAATCTAAACAGATCTATACATTATATCATCAATAACTGTGCAATGACACTGTGAAAGCAATAAAAGCACCAACAGTAACAGACAAAATCAATCATAAATTCATAACCAATTTTAGCAGCATCGTGCATGTGTGAGTAAAACTAAACTTGTTGTTTATTTCCATAATAAAATGGGTTTTATTGCATGTTTTGTAGTTAAGCAGAACCTTCAAAGGCCGTGATCGTAAAAGATTTTCATTTCCTTATTTCTGAAAACACAAAGGACTCCCGGGTATCTGTGAGCTGCAGCCCATATTCCAGAGCCTTCCGCTTCCTGGGTTTCTCTTTGATTGTAAGGCTGTGGCATTTCTTAGTTGCAGATGTAACAGAGTGAGATGGAAGAACCAGCCGGAGGCAGAAAACCTAGATTCTACCACTATCTCCTCTCCACCTTCACTATCACTCTCGTCCATACCAGAGCTGAATTTTACCAGACAGGAAAGAATATGAGGTTCAAAACATGTTGAATTTCTATTAGTTAAGTTTCTTAAAAAAGAAAAGAAAAAAACCCGCTCAAGGTGTGTGCAAGACCTCACTATTGATTTAAAACTTCTTTAGTAACCTCTTAATATGTACTGCTAGACACTAAAATATGTCTCTAGAAATTCTGACAACTCAGACTTTCCAATACAGTGTTGCAAATGTGTCAAATACCCTTATAATTTTAAATTATAAACTGCTCGGTAGCGCCCTCTACTGACGGAACTGCTGCTGACATTAAAGACCATCAGAGTCCTCCTTAACTAAAACTATGGAAGAAAAATAATGCCATATGTCTTTGAAACAAAAAAGCACATTTAATAGCACTAACTGAAAAAATAATGCATTGCATTAACAGTGCTTGCATTTTAATGCCTTGTATTTTCAGGGCTTGCATTTTTAGGTCCTGAAATTTAACATAGTTGTTTATTTAAGCTGTGAATATTTTAATTCAAAATATTTCACACACATTTTCATAATTAAAAATTCAATGATTCATATTCACCTTCCAGAATTCACTTCCAAAATATTAAATCTGTTTAAAAATACGATGTATAATATTCAAATTCAAATTTCGGTCCATTTTATTTGACTTTCCAAATTCGCTTCCACAAATTCAGTGGTTAAAATTCGACAGAAAATTCGCCTTTGCACATCCGGGAGCTGCAGGAATAGCATTAGAGCACCGATGCATGATCTCCAGCTGCTGTCAGTCACTCCAGTCACTCAGGCGCAAGCGGCTGTTGATGAAGACCAAAGCAACAGGTGGATACTATATACATATAGCATATATAGTATCTTTATACTATTATTATTATTTAAAAATTTGTATTATTGCTATTCATTAGTATTACTATTTTAAAGTATTACTATATACAGCCTATGCATTTCTATTCATTCATATTTCCTAACCCTTAATTTTGAAAGAAATCTAGAAAAATAACTTTGAATTACTCTGTTTTTGAAAATATCATAAATATTATGTACTAAATGTTTAATTGCGAACCATTTTCAAAGCATGAACAAATCAAGCTTACCTTACATTGAGTTTCTGTTCAGAATCAAAACTTCTGTACCTCAGAATCCACTGTGCCGCTTTCTTTTCAATGAACAGTAAAAGACGCAGAAACATCCTCTTAGTTTTCCAGTCTTCCTCTGAGAAATTTATTTGAAACACTGCTCCTGTACATTAGAAAACATAATTTTAATTCCAGGATTAAACTTTCAGTTCCATTTCTCTCAATGCACAGGAGCGGGCGAGCGCCACCACGCAAACACCAGACGCACTGTACCACCAGAACCGAAGCAGAGTGAGTGTAAACAGTGGGAGGAAGGATTTGAACGTAACACCTCTCATTCCATCAGGCTTCCAAAGGGAAGCAGCCTCCAGCACCACCTGCTCAGCAGGGAAAGGAGAGCGTTTCAATTTAAGAGTCCTTAAATTCCACACACACAGAGGTCACACAAAGCAAAGTTCAAAAGGTCAGGAGGATAAAAACAGTTTTAGTCCACAAGATAGAGAGTACCATATTCCATGTCCATGTTCCAGAGTTGACGTGAACAGTTTGAAGTCTCGTATCAGCGCAGAAGAGATCGCTGGGACCCCTGATGACGTGTGTCACCCTCCTCTGGTACAGAAGAACACTTGAGGCCTGTGAGCTAAACAAAAACAACATTTACACTTAAAACCTGGTGACATCTGGATCTATCTATCTGTAAGATATTTGTTTTTTAATATATTTTTGAAAGCCGTCTCTAATGTTAACCAAGGCTGCATTTATTTGATCAAAAATACAGTAAAAATAGTATTATTGTGAAATATTATTATAGTTTTAAATAACTGTTTTCTATAATATATTTTAAAATGCAATTTATTTCTGTGATGCAAAGCTGAATTTTCAGCATCATTACTCCAGTCTTCAGTGTCACATGATCCTTCAGGAAGCGCTGCTTCATATTTTGCATTATTTTCAGGATTCTTTTTGTACATGTATTTTTTTCATGATTTTTTTAAAGAATAGAAAGTTCAAAAGAACAGCATTTGTTTGAAATAGAAATATTTTGTAACTTTATAAATGTCTTTACCGCCACTTTTGATAATTTTATGCATCATTGCTGAATAAATGTATTCATTTCTGAAAAAATAAATAAATAAATCGTGCTGACCCAAAAACTTTTGAACGGTAGTGTATAACAAATAACACAAAGCTTTTAACATTCAGTCTTCAAATCTTTTTATATTGTCCTCACACTACATGAGACTTGTACTGTATAATTGTGATGGGTCATTCATGAACGATTCGTTCATTGCGTCTGTCACGTGACAAATGAACAAAAGACTCGGAAGGTAAAGTAATTATTTATGTTCCCTGTAAATTATCATTGGCTGCATTATGGAGATTTCTTAATTTGGAATATGATCAAGATTGCGTAGGTGGATGTGTTTGGGGAATTTGGCTGGTAAAAGTATAACATTTAAAGTCACTTCAATGAACGCAATGACTTGAATAAAGATTCGTTCATTTTGATGAACGAGATCGAACGAGAGAGTCAATAAAATGATCCGAACCTCCCATCACTACTGTACAGCCTTCAAAATGTTGTAAACATTTAGTACCAACATTCAAAGTCTGTCTTGGCAAACCTTCTTATTCTAGTTTATTATGATTTGGTGGAATATTTTTGCAATTTCAGCCACAATGTTCTTTTAAGTGGACGAAGAGAAAAGTGAAATAGAATATTTATTCTTATAATCTAGTGTGTATGAAGTTATCATGTACTACCGGAGTCCACTGAGCCACATGGCACCGTTTCCTGCTTTCTGGAAGAGCTACGACCAAAGAATGAAGGCTAAAGAAAAAAATAAAAATAAAAATAAAAACTGAACATGGGAACAAAAACAAAAGACAAAAAAAACACCAACACAATGGAACAAAGAGGAGAGAATAAAATAAACATTACATTTAGGCTGAGATCAAAATATTATTATTGGAGATGATTGTACTGACCTTGACAGAAAATGATAGATGAGTGATCTATATGATTACCTTTTCTTCTAGTTCCTTGATCTGTCGTTTCTGTGCCTCTATCCATTCTTCAAGCTCTTTTATCCTCTGATGGGATGAGAAAAACAGATCAATCAACAGTAACAAATGGCCAATATTATACATATACGTTGCAATAGAAATAAGCATGAACTCTTTCACTTCTGTTTCTCATGTTTTATAGATGTATATACCGCTTGAGCATGTTGTAGCAGTTCCATCCTCTCTCTGAGTATCTGCGCATCTCTCTCTCGTAATTCACTCAAGACCTGCCTCTTCCACTGATCCACAGCCTCTCTCAGCGAATCACGGTCCTGCTCGGTCAGCAGCTCGGACACCTTCCCACCCGTCTCCTCCCGCTGCAAGGCGTCAAACAGCATCGCCTCTAACTCAAGGATACGCTGAGAGAAACACAGAGGGGTGTGGGCCAGAGATGACATGCATTCACCACCACCAGGGGGCACAGGAGGACAGAACGGCATCTCATAATAGAGTAAAACTCCTCAGCAGTGCTTGAGAAGAAACCATATGGATTATTGGCCATGTGTGATCTCTAAAACATGATGCACAGTCCTTACCTTACGTGCATGGTCCAAAGACTGCTTTCTGTAGTCTAATTCCTCATCTAAATATCCTTTTTGTTTGCTAAACAGCTCCTTTGGAGGAAAATGGCATGAGAAAATAATTGTTTTGATGTAAAAACACATTAACAAATGTCATCCTGCATATATTAGAGAGATTATTATTATTATTATATAATTTAAATTATATAAAAATATTCAATTAAAAATAAGTCTGTTGTTAGGACCATTATATATAGCATTTTCTGCTGTAACGCTGATTTGGTGACTTCGATTTGCTCTAACCACTGGACACAACAGAGACATCAAAAGACACATAAAAACATCATTAAAACAGCATGAAATTAACATGAAATAACAGTAATTTTAAAAAGACGCATGGATCATACCTTCTCTGCTAACGTTAATACTGTTCTTGCATGAATAACCACCACTTGCTCCTCATTGGTCAGATTCTGTGCGTGTCATCCAATGAAAAGAGAGACATCAATGACAGAGATACGCATGTGTACCAAACACACCCAGGCATGTGTAAACACACACATTTACATATGAAATCAACATACACTTACGGCGTTATCCCCCAGAATATCGAGTTTCTTCATCAGCTCTGTGATCACAATGTCCTGTGGTGTGAGAAAGACTTTTATTGAGATATTAAACCACGAATCCTCCTCCAGACATCAGCAGATTAGATCTGTGCTGGATCACTGACAGTCTGTTAAGTGTTTGGTCTGATATCAGTTCCATCTGAAAAACTAAATTGAAAAAACTAAATTGAAAAAAATGATTTCTCAGCTGATATGTGTGATAAAATTCAACAATAACGTTAACAGAATGAAAATCTAGTCAAATACCTACAGCAGGTGTTGTTTTCTGTGCCACTGCTTTTCATCAAAGTCTGGATTTTTAGATAAACGTTAACTTAAAATATATTATGATATCTTTAAATATCATAATAGTGTTGTCAAGCTATGTGGGGTAAGTTGTCACAAAAGGAATCAGCTGTTAATCTGTAAGATATATACAACATATCTGTATTTGAAATCTGTTATATATGAAAACATAAGGTAAGATATTAAAACATTATTTTTGCTAGCAAAACTTTTAATTAATGAATGTATAAAAATACTTTTTGTTATTGTACTTGCCCCCAACTTGATCATTCATTATTACAAAAATTATTAAAAGTAAATTATAGTTACTTCCCCTGTGTGACAACTAGCACGAGACCGGGGTCTCTCTATAGAGCAGGGGTGCCCAAACTCGGTCCTGGAGGGCCGGTGTCCTGAAGAGTTTAGCTCCAACCCCAATTAAACACACCTGAACCAGCTAATCAAGCTCTTATAGGCATACTAGAAACTTGAAGGCAGGTGTG